GCCTTACTAGTAGTAACAAGAAGCTACTAGGGGTTCCTGGCATCGCTGCTAGGAACAAGGACGCTACTAGGAACAAAGGGAATCGCGACTCGTACATTGAGCTCCTTGAGATCCCATGCAGGATTCAAGTCCACGTGACGTTTCAACCTGCAGTCGATCAAGAGGTGTTTTGCGGACAAAGGATACAAAGGGTTTACGTCTTGGCAGTGTCTTCATCGATCTTGGCAGTGTCCTATCCAAGTCTTGGACAGCAAATTGGTGCGGCAAACTGGTCGAGGCCCAGCGAGAAATCGCACAGAAATCGCTCAGCATCAGGCTCGTCGTAGAAGTTGCTGAACCACTCCAGCAAGCTCACCGGCTGAGTGACCTGCCATCGGTTGGAGGCCATCGCTATCAGAAACAAACAAAGAGAAAAGGAAGTTTGCTCTCAAAAACGTCGCAGTCGTCGCTGAGCGATTGAGCGATGCTTCGACAGGCCTCAGCGCCATCTTTGGACCTCGTTCAGGCCAGAGATGCCGTGACAAAATAACCGATTTGGATCAGAACCCCGCCAACCAACGTTTAGAAAACGATTCTTGCGTCTGGTCTTTTTTCTTCTATAGACCCTTACGTTTTAGACCTGTTTTTTTCTGCTTATGTTGTCTTGCTTCCTTTCTTGCTTGTGCGGCCAGGTTGATGTTATAGTGCTTCACTGAGGGTGGCACGGATGCACTCCCGGTGGCGGGCAACCTGCGAACGTCGGCCAATCACAGCTTTCACTTCAGCAGCATTTCACCAGCGGCTTTAAACCCTTTTTTCAAGGTGAGGGAACACCTGTGCCGACTGCAGCACATGGTGAGCCTGGTGGAAGCAACAGCCATCGCTTGCGGCCGCGCACCACAGCATTCCATGCACAGGTCTTGTTCCTTGAATCTTCAACGCACAAAACAACACCCAACAACCAACACCTTTTTTTCGTTGTCGGTCTCATTCTGATCAAGTAAGTAAATACAAAATCAAAGAAAGTGCCTAGGACGCTACTAGGGGCTCCTGGCATCGCTACTAGGAACAAGGACGCTACTAGGAACAAAGGGCATGGCTGAGGCCCTCACGGGTCCAAATGCCATTTGGATCCACTGCGCTTGTTGCCAATGAGAAGCCAACGGAAATCGGGACGCTTCTCATCTCCCAAGAAGTTGAACAAATCCCGTCCTCGAAAGATGCTCGGAACCTCATAGTCATCCAGAAGCTCCGGCGCGCGTGTGGCAAAATACTTGTCGAAAATGAACATGGGCACATCATCCATGTTCTGATGGGCATAAGAATAGAAGAGCTTCAAAGGGAAGTCCACGGGCCCTGCTGCGAAAGGGATCTCCCCAAATCGCCGGACCAAGGATTCTTCGGACCATCGGCTCAAGGCAGGCCAATGCTTCACGCAACCAGAGACGATCACCGGACAGCTCCGTTCTTCAAAGCGTTCCAGGAAGTCCTGCGTGGAAAGGTTGGAGACCCTCTCCAGGTTTTCAGTCGCCAGCCAAGCAGGATCCAACTCTGTGGCAGCATAATAGAAACTACGATACAACACGTCGCTGTAAACACGGGCCATTTTGCCCTGCGCTGGTGTCGAACCCATGCTGCAAATATAAGCTTCTCGCCAGCTGTTCCCTCCCCAATGTAACTGATGTCCGCCTTTCAGGCCGTCGCGGCTCTTCCCAGCTCTTCCCTCACC